TCCGGGTACATCACCTGCGTCATCGAACAGCTACGGCGACCAGTACCGCTCAACAAATACCCGGATTGAGGAGGCTTTCTGCACAGACCGTCAGGAACAGGGTGAGAGAGGCTGGTTTACGTGCCAGAATTTTGGCCCTGTGCTTCGACAACAACACCGTCGACATCGAGTTCAATGGTGCACCAACGTTCAGGCCTGGAACCTACCGAATTGGCGTAGAATGTGGTTCAGTGATGAATCACGATTCCTATTGGAACGACGCGATGGAAGAATGCCGTTGTACAGACGTCGACGTGAACGGTTCACCGACGCTTGCGTTCCCAGGTGGACAGATTCGGCCGGGGCAGTGTTATGATGTGGGGAGGGTTCACCTGCCGTAGGAGAAGTGATTTGGTGATGATCCAGGGCAACCTGACAGCTCAACGGTACTGTGACGAAATCCTACGCCCACACCTCCTTCCAATCATTGATCGCCAGAGGAGTTGTTTCAACAGGACAATGCCAGGCCCCACACAGCACGTCACACTAGAGACTTCCTCCAGAAACACAACATCAATGTGCTCCCCTGGCCTTCAAGATCACAGGACTTAAACCCGATCGAACATCTGTGGGATGCCCTGGACAGACGGGTGCAACGCCGTAACCCTCAGCCCCAGACAGTTCAGCAACTCGCACAGGCACTACAGTCAGAGTGGGCTGCGATTGGGCAACACGAGATTCTGAGACTTATTCATTCGATGCCGAGGCGATGCCGTGCAGTTCTGGATGCCCACGGTGGTCACACGAGGTATTGACTTCAGCGCCACCACACGTCTCCATGTGACACTCAAACTGACTTTCCTCGAGTTGGTGCCAAAGACGGATAAGTCTGCATTCCCAGTGTGCAATTTCGCTATATTTCATTTACTCATAAAGCCTACAAGATGTTTCAAAATAAACATAAAAATACAGTTGAAATTCCTATATGCGTTTCTTTTTGGGGAGAGTATATGTTTTGTATCTCTCTGATGTCAGTAGCTCTGCTGATGTAACACAAATTCCTTAAAAGGCATTAAAGTATTATTCTATTCTATTCTATTAATCACACTTTTCTCTAAGATTAACTTGTAATGTAAAATTGGATCGTATTGATACGGTCTAACATCCGTTTCAGAAATGACATCCGGAACATCTTTTATTGCTTCAGAATCCATAGACACTGTTACAAACTTTTTGTTCCATTTGAATCACGGAAGGTGACTTGTAGAATCATGACTACATCTATGAAACGTTTTGTTTTCGTTAGTATTCTCCTCTAAAAAACGAACACAGTGACGGAAGTCACGGCCTCATTCAAAATGTAACGAATCAATCTTCAAATTAAACCTTTAAAATATTAACAATTCTGTTTGGCAAATATGAAGTAAGATTAATTTACTCATCCTTTACACAATAACTAAAAGAAAACACAGAAAAAAAAAACACAATTCACACAGAAAACGGCATAATCTAGCCATTATCGCAATAACATAAAATGAACTTATCATCGAGGTAGGACAGTCGATGCGCTACGTCTCCCAGTGAGACTTGGCCCAACTGTTAAACTCCCTCTTCTTTGTAAGTTCAGTACAATTGATGGTACTCAATTTTGGCTTTCAATGAACGGTTTTCATGAAACTAGTGGCACATGTTGATACTATCAGCCGCTGGTCTGGTTTGAACCCGTGAAGATCCGGGTTAGAATTGATCTTCAGTAACCCATGCTTGTCGTAGAGACGACTAACGGGTTCGGATGATCAGCTGCAGGCTCACTGACTTGGTTGACACATGTCATCGCATCTCAACTGCGTGGATCACTGGATTATCTGGTCGAGGCTCGATTAGTTACAGATTGCCGCCATATAGCTAGAATATTGTTGGGTGCAGCGTTAAAAGAAGAAGAAAGAACTAAGACTGATATTGAGTCGATCAAGGGCGCTTTGGTGAAGCTGGTATGATTTAATTACCAAGTAAGCTTACAGGTCTTATTGTTTAAACATCGCAGAAGATATTAGAAGAGGTATTTCTTGTAATGATTGGTTAAGCTAGTACTGGGTTTGACGCCGTTTTGAAGTACTTCCGTCAAATCACAGTTTAATCTGCGATTATCTGACTTGTGCTACTTGGCAGGAATGGTATTGAGAGACCAAGGATCATTTATAATCAAAGTGAAACTGGGATTCGAAACACCCATCAGGACTCTTGTGTGGACGAGGTCGCAACTCTGTGCCATGGCATATTAAAGACAAGACTTATATTCTGCGATGTATCGCCCAAACATTATCTTTAATCCTAACCCAGGGAATGACACTAGTGCTGTGATAAACCTCCCATAAAGAAAGCTCGTGCACTGTCAGTGTCTGACATCCGTCACGCAGACGACAGCTCCTCGTTCAGATCACAGCACTGCTGCCGTACTATTTCTTTTTGTTTCCGCCAATAAAAATAGTTCATTTGTTTTAGAGACTAAACGTCGGGATTTCTGAAACGTTTGGTGGTAGGATAATTCTTATCTGTTCTTCCAATGCCACTTTGTTGTATTTGTGATATAAAACAAGCTTACGTATATGTTAAAAGATGTTGGCTACCGTCACTTGTTTAGGATGTCAAGTTAACATTGAGAAATTATTTAGTAAACCATTCGTCTCGTACAGATATACAGTGATATATTTTCAGGTATGACTTATCCAGTTACGTCTCTATATGTTCAGGTTTCAAATGTGAACAGTAAACAAGAAAGACGATTTCTTTATACGACGAAGACGGTTAATGTAGTCCTGGTTTATAGTTGCCATTACTGCCACCGAGAAGAGGTACTATCAATAAACTATCCTTTACTGTGAAAAGAATCCATTGGTCATCCGACTGATGTTTCCTGCTTTACCGAGGTATGGAATCACAGGGCTGATCCATATAACTGTTGTTTACAGACTCCTGATTGCTGTTTACGTGTAAAACCTGCAGGCAACCAGTTTACTGATATGAATAAATACAATTTAATATATCCATATGCATTACATACAGATGAATAGTATGACATTTAATCCTCCACCCCCAGTTATATCACGGCGCGCTTAATATGCGAGGAAACCTTTAAGGATGCAGGTGTTTAACTAGACTAAGGCTTAGTCTCTGAATATATATAATTTTGATAGTAACAAACAAGCCCATTTAAATTGAAAAGGAGCCCTAGAATGACCAGAGATTCAGAACCTGAGGAAATCTAGACTTGCTTTATTTAGGGCTTTAGCACTGCAGAGAAAGCTTGGCAGTAGGGAAATTAATGTGGTTCAGGAACTGTGAGACAGACTAGTGTTTAACCTTCACAACCCTATTGATCATCAAAGCATACTTATTCGAATATTACAGGAAATTAAATGATTATTAAAACTGCAATTATTATCTATTAATATGATTTAATCATATTCTAAGCTATTAGTTTTTAATATTATCATTTTTTCCTTGCACTGCATGCAGTGTCTTATGCTAGGATACAGTATGCACTTCCTTTTAAGGGACCGACCAACGATTTCAGAGAATGTTTGCCAAAAAGAATGCAGAAAAGAAAAATAAAGAATTTGCCTTCAACTCCCGAAGATGATTGTTCCTTGTACACACTGGGTCCTTTCCTGCTTTCGAGGAATAAAGATGTAAGTATAGAATGCATAAATCATCTATGTGAACTATGACTGCCTTTTCAGCTTCAGATATTTGACAAAAGAATCCTTTGTTTCAGCCTTGGGGGCCAAGATTGCCGTGACTGTAATCCTAAACATAACAACAGCTCAACAAACACATGTATTCGAACAGACGCAAAGTATGTCTGCAAGTTGACAGCGAGAGTGTAACGCAACTGTACCAGGCCGCGATATAAGAGATTATTTACACACATATTCTGAATCCGGCGCAAGGATACTAACAGGTACACATCAGAGGTCACGTGCTTGTTACATCGTGGTTTTGTTGCGTTGCGATGTTCCAGTTTTATACCGGCGGGATGTATGCCCAGTCATCAGGCAATCCAGTGATCGATATTGAGAGAAACAATCCTTGCAGGGATACAAACCTATTTGAAAATAACTTTAAAGATTAGTGAGTGAGTGAGTTTGGTTTTACGCCACTTTCAGCAATATTCCAGCAATATCACGACGGGGGACACCAGAAATGGGCTTCACATATTGTCCCCATGTGGGGAATCGAACCCGGGTCTTCGGCCTGACGAACGAACGCTTTAACCACTAGGCTACCCCACCGCCCCTAAACATTACAGACGAATGTGAATAGTTTGCGAAATGATTCGCGTTAAGTGGGCGTGTCTGTACATTATAAACATGCTTGGTGGTTACGCTGTATTGTAGTAATGTTATGTTTTTAAAGACTGTGGGGAGAGTCTCTCCGTATGGTCATGTGTGGGACTACAATATGACCCCCACGGTGTACGCATCGGCGTGACAAGCTGTAGTGCTACCAACGTCTACATCCATGCATCACTGCTGTCTCAAAATATGCTCCTGTCGTCAGCCACGATGTAGCCACTAAATATGTATAGCGAACAGAAATTCTCGGTCCCTTTGAGATTAATGTAATTGTGAGTGAGTGAGTATAGTTTTACGTCGCCTTTAGCAATATTCCATCAATATCACGGCGGGGGACACCAGAAAAGGGTTTCACACATTGTAACCATGTGGGGAATCGAACCCGGGTCTTCGTGATGAGCGAACCACTTGGCTACCCCCTAAATTGCAATTCCTGGAAGCGGAAGATTAAAACTGAATAAGTACTGGAGACAACAGAGAAGTATAACACACTGCAAATCAATCATTCTGTACACCACCTGCCACATTTCTGATATCATTCTTAAAACATGGCCCCACCCACTTGCAGGTCACAAAACCTAATGTCATGGAACCAGACGTCACGCTTGAAGACGACTCATCCATCACGTGAGCGCGTGACAGTTTTTATTGCAAGGACCATATCACTTTGAGAGTCGACGGAGACGTGGCAAGCCATTTCGGCTACTGTATAGGGAAAGGTAAACTTAATATTTTAGGCTTTAAGAACAAGGACGTTCTTAGTCCATGCTACTAAATCATCTCCTTGGAAAGCTTCCGGCCTCCTTCAAACAGGTTTAACGACTTCCTTTGCTTGGAAACAACTGAGTCTCAAACGCGGGGATAAAAACACCCATTTTCAAGAAAAACAGGTAAGATTGACCCGATTATTTACATACTTCCATAATATATAGTGACAAAAGGTTACAAATGTCAATCGAAAGTTATTTAGAAGTTGAACAGTTATTAACGGCGTGTCGGTTTCTTGTTGGAGGAACGCATGGGTGCAATGTGTGAAGCCCATTTCTGATGTCCCCCGCCGTGATGTTGCTGGAATATTGCTAAAAGCGGCGTAAAACCAAAACTCAGTCAGTCAGTCAGTTGTTGGAGGAAGGCGGTCCAGGTCTCATTTTGTCAAACCCACGATAACAAAACCAGAGACATGATGTTGATGGGGTTCAGGAAGATAGCGTCTTTGTTAGGAACGGATTGGTTAGACCACTTTAGGAGATATGATCTTGCTATCATGAATTATCCGTTCATGATAGTGAGTAAGATGGGTCCTACGCCGCTTTAGAAATATTCCAGCAATATTATATTCATAACATATTACGAAAAAAGAGCCAAGAACTTTCTTCATTTTCAGAAAGCGTGTTAATCTGGAATTGCCACATATTCTAGACTTGCATGTGGCTGTGTTGGGAGTATCATATTTCTGGGACTATATGACAGTCTATACGCAATGTCATGCGAACCGGTACCAATAATGGTTTAAGTGGTTTTATACATTCCTGCTTCTTGGCACTAGTATATGGCAAAAACATCTCTATTCAGAAGTTGCAGACCCTACCAAAAAAAAGTCCGTTTGAGTCAGAAACGGACGGATGAATTGCAAATTTTATCATTGTACAAACTTGCCACATAAATATAAATAGTGCACATGTTTATCATTTACTAATACCCAACAGCTTTCTTATATTCGAAAATTTTCCGGACTCCACCAAAAAAGTTGTTTGTGTTCCAGAACAATTGTCAGTACCCTTGCTGATACTCCTAAAGCTTTTGCTGCACGCTTACGGAATTTATTAATGACATAAAATGGTTTGCCCCTTTCGGCTTCAGCACGGAAAAAATCGTACACTTTAATCATCAACTGTTTCACGTCAGCATTCAACTTCATTTTTCATCAGGCATGTGTATCCCGTGCACGACGAGATAGAGGCTGTTCCGTTTCTGCGGTTTCACCCCGCCACGACAGATAACAACTTTTGCGTTTTCAATGATGATAGTTTCTTAAAAAACCTTTTTGGTGGAGTTCGGAAAATTTTCAAATATAAGAAAGCTGTTGGGTATTAGTAAATGATAAACATGTGTACTATTTATATTTTTGTGGCAATTTTGTACAATGATAAAATTTGCAATTCCTCGGTCCGTTTCTGACTCAAACGGACTGTAGCTCTTCTCTGCTTTGTTGAGGCACAAATTCACATCGAGTTTTACAATAAGTTGACAGGCTTGTGAATAATGTTTTGTTAATCGCATTCTTTTTGCTGCATATGTCTAATTATATAAAATATGAACCTTATGAGGAGGTTTCAATTGTCTATTTTGTTGAGAGTTGAGGCTGGAAAACAGTCAATTGGCTATTTGGTTTTTAAGGGTATCAGATCATCAATTAAGTCATTCAATAATGAGGGCAAGTCACATGAACCCTCTGTGTAATGTCCAGTTGATCTCTTCTGTTCAGTACCAGTTCTATTGTATCAGTGTAAAGTATGTGGTACAGAGGATTTCCATCACTGTTTACACCTGCATTACCCCTTGGGTTACACCTGTCAGATGGCGCTCTTAAGCCATTCTGCAGTATCATGGCATGTGGCAGGTGCCGTGGGAGGTTGAAGTTCATGAGCTGCCAGATACTGCACTGATCGTGCAAGACACGGTCGGGATTGAAGTCCACAGCAAAGTGGACTGTAGATTTTTAAGATGACATATTGTTCAGGTTAGACAATTGGTTTACGCCCATTCTCTGCACGCACGGCTGCAGTCTGTTTACATGTTCTCCCAAGGCTGAATTGGATATGTGTGTCGTGTAAACTTTGGTTGGAGGCGACTAATGGGATAGGTGGGGGTTGGGGGATGGGTCAGGCTTGGCATGGCAAGATCATTGCTCACAATATCGATCACTGGACTGTTTGGTCCGGACTCGTTTATTTACAGGCAGGCCCCCTTCAGCTGGAATATTGCTGAACGCGACATTAACCATTTAGTGAATACACGTTTAGATGGTACACGTAATGAAGATTATAAATTCTCTCATAATTCAATGTGGAGCTGATCATCAGCATTTTTGTTTAGTGAGTGAGTGAGTTTAGTTTTACGCCACACTCAGCAATCTTCCAACTATATGGCGGCGGTCTGTAAATAATCGAGTCTGGACCAGACAATCCAGTGATCAACAGCATGAGCATCGATCTGCGCAATTGGGAACAGATGACATGTGTCAACCAAGTCAGCGCATTTTTTGTTTAAAACTGATGTATGCAATGTACATGTATGTACTGACTTGTACACCAAACTAAACAGTGTTGTTAAGTAATGAAATATATGTGTGGCGGGCTGTACACCGAGATGAAGAATATCTGTGGGATGTGTTACCTTGTGGCTACACACTCGGACATACAAGATGTCATGTACCTACCATACCAATGTCTCGTAACGTCAACCCTAAATGGCAGGTCGTGACCACCACGGAATCTTTCCACAATGCTTTTTTGTTAGTAGGTATGAAGGCTGGATGCTGGTGTCACGTAGTCATGGACAATCGTATCTGTTAGCGTCATTCAGGATTTACACTGTGACTGGTGTTAACTCTTGCTTAGCTGGGATGGAGTTTACACAAAGATACCATGAGCTATGTTACTGTCCCATTTTAATCAAGGCGTATCTGGCGTAATGGATAAAGTGTTTGCCGAACGCTCGGGTTCGAATCCCAACTTGGGCACATGGTTGTCACACGAAGTGACATTGCTTGATTATTGATAATATCGGCCTAACACACACACGCACGCACACTCACCGTCACCACCGTCCTACATGCATACATGCATGCACACACGCACGCACACACATACACACACACATACACACACACACACAGACAGACATACATACATGAAAATGTATATAAATCATGGTTTTTTTTTACATACATACATACATACATACATACATACATACATACATACATACATACATACATACATACATACATGAAAATGTATATAAATCATGTTGTTTTTTCTTTTGTCGGAAGAGTATTTTTAAAAACACGTTTGTCTTATCTATAACAATATTTGTCTGAAGCAACTGTTCGTGCGTTGCAAACTCATGATGCAAGACATGTTTATGCAAGTATGTTCCCCCATGTCACGTGACCAGTTTATGGTAAAGCATATCTTGTAAGATGTCAGCTGGTGAACTCGAAGACGCCACGAAAGCCAAGTAAGGCTCTCCATCCTTCATATTCGGGATGACTTGCTCATGTATTACATATGTAATTATGCAAAGATATTCAAAGGAGACTTGAAACTTGTTTTTTCCGTCACAGTTATTCCTATGTCTTTCTGTACACATGTGTTGGGTGAAAATGAATAGAAAAAGAATTACTCACAAAGGGGCACGCAAGAGAGAACCCCAGCCTTCTGCTGACAACGCCAGCATACCCATGATGGGACAACGTGTGCCCCTTAGGTGTACAAGAAACAGACAATCATTGGTTCGAATACCAGGTTTGTCCTGACCATGTTTATAGACTTTTAGCCCCACGTCCGTGTTTGAGGGTTTCAGCTAAGTGGTAAACGTCTCACCTTTGCCTCGCTTCAGACTTTCCCCACACCATGCTGACTCGTAGACTAACATAGAGTCACTGATATGAACATATTTTACAGAATTATAATCTAGTCTTGAAATATACTGAAAAGGAGTCCAGATACTTTCTTCATTTTCCGAAACTGTGGAAATCTAAACTTGCCCATATTCTAGGCTTTTTCTTGGATATCTTGGTTTCTGGGTCTGCATGGCAGATTTGTGACTCGCAGTTGCGTAACAAAATACTGTTCATGGCGTCATTTAAATACATAATCCACAACTCTGTGTGTTTAGAAACAATCAGAATGTACCGCGGGCGACGTGTATTTATGTTTTTACAGTTTCATCATGTTTTATCACAATGTCATTATTTTCTTAAAGACAATCTCAGTCCTGCCCAAAATCAGAACACCAATTCGATTCGTTTCCCACAGTAATCTCAGAGCGGTTTGATAGTACAGCGATTGATGCGTTCTCTGGTCACGCGGAAGACCCAGGTTCGACTTCTTCTTGGATACAATGTGCCAAGCCCAATTCTGGTCTCTACCCATTTGATATTGCTAAAACCCCTAATCACTCAAATATTCTTTGCTTAAAATAAACGATTTTAAGGGTTGATGATTGAGTGAGTGAGTGAGTTTAGTTTTAGGCCACACTCAGCATTATTCCAGCTATATGGCGGCGGTCTGTAAATAATCGAGTCTGGACCAGATAATCCGATTGACTGAGTATAGTTTTTTTTACACCGCTCTAAGCAATATTCCAGCAATATCACGGCGGGGGACACCAGAAATGGGCTTCACACATTGTACCCATGTTGGGAATCGAACCTGGACCTTCGGCGTGACGAACGAACACTTTAACAACTGCACTACCTCACCACCCCGATAGATCACCAAATTAACAAACATCATTATATAAACATAGTATTCTTTGTAAGGAGACGCAGATCTTTTGTTAGGGAGATTAGACCGATTAATTTTTTTCGTATTTTATCTTTTATGTTTTGAAGAAATAATAAACATACTAAACATGCGTTGTGTGTCAGCTGATGGACAGTGCATCTATGATTGATGGCGGCTGATGTCGGGCACGGCATTAATCTTCTCCGCGTCCCGCCAGCTACACTGATGTCAGGACAGTACTTAGTCCTGCCATTTCGTCCTTTTTACTCCCCGGTAAATATGTCATCCCGAATATATGGAAGCTGTCATTTGCCTGGGGCAGAGCTAGTTACCATAGCAACTGCTAGAAGGGGTTTGAATTTGTTTTACATTCTAAT